CCTAATGTGTGAGCCCAGCAGAATATAGTACGAGACAACAGGATGGTTTTCATGCTTGCAGAAATGCACAAGCTATTCTGCACTTTTCTATAGTCTAGGAAAATCAAACTTATTTGATGACTGAGGGAGTATCAGCCCTTTGGACAGCACATTTTAGTCTCTGAGTGGGTGTCCTGCATCACTGTTCCTCTAGCTCTAATAGTGGCTGCACCTGAAGCTGAAGCTTTACAGACTCAACATCAACTAATTGTAGACTTAAACTAAGGCAGTAGAAGGATCTCTTCCTTTGAAAGAATGCTACATAAACCTGAGGCTAGAGTAAATATAATAAACTGGTCCAGAATCAGGGAAGAAACTTAACACACAAATGAAAATTTCAGTAAAATGAAACCCTTTTGCCTTGACATTTAATTGAAACAAAAATCCTTTGTTAATCCTATATGAAACAAATTACCTTCTTTTGGTCAGCTCTGGTCAACAGGATAGGGGTGGATGGTGTGGAAAGGATGGAGCCACTGGAAGCACCATTCTTCCTCACAGCCAGGCACATACCAACAGCACCTCAGTGAGCCAGGATGTGCCTTCTGTCCCTAACATGAGATGACCAGACTATCATTCCTCTGAGCTGCCCACTATAAACAAGGAAAAACTAAGGACAAGTTCTTCAAGCTGAGTTAGATGATGTTATACAAAGAAATTCCAAAATTCATAGCATTTCTGCCACTTGCTTGGTATATTTTTAAAATGGTTTGAAAAATTTATTTCACCTGCTTAAAACACATGTTTTAAAGCTCAACTTTTCTTAGTCTGGCTGTTCACCTGCTTAAAACACATGTTTTAAAACTCAACTCTTCTTAGTCTGGCCTCTATTTAAGGGCTGGGAAGCTCTGATGTTGTTTTATTGTTTAAAAGTTGTGTTGGAAAGCTGATGTGTAACCAGATCTGTGTCATTCAGAGCCCTGCAGCTGCTTGAGAGGTGGGAGCCAGGAAAGTGCTCAACTGCCAGATGGTGGGCACTCAGACTAGCTTCAGGTGCTGGAGAAAACCTAACACGCTTTCCGTGTTATTTAAAATGAAATTAAAAACAGCAGCAGAAAAATCACCCTCTAGCTTTTCATTTTTACTGCACTGTTTCTCTGTGGGTGGATCAGAGAATGACTCAGTCTCCTTTGGAGGTGGCCTTAGTTTCACCATTGGCTTGTTTTTTAACCAGGTTCTGAAGGGTCCTTAAGAATTCAGCCTTGGGAGCACTGCAAGATGAAACTTATCACCCCTCTTAGCAGGATCTTAGCAGGAGCTTCTCCTGCCTGCCCTGAAGCATCTTCATCATATGTGCTAAACTCCTGTGTTTTATAAGCAAAATCCTTTAAATTGTGCTTTGGCTTCACATTTTTCAACAAACTTGCTTTGGACAGGTCCTCCTAAGGATCTTGTTAGCCCTTTTTTTGGGTAGTGAGCTGTTGGCTGGTACTTGCACCATTTGCCTTCCCAGAAGCAAGTTCTGACAGATTATCTTCAGTTATTAGGAAGTTAATGGTGGCTGTTGAATTCTAAGTAGTACAATTTGTAATGACAGGTCAAAATAGACATCAGATAGCCATTACTTAGGCCAATTCAATAGAACTAGAATACGGCAGAGGTGTTTGTTTATTTTCTGAAATGCAAGAGGTCTAAAAATTCATTGTTCCTATGGGATTGCCTCGAGTTCCCATGGACAGATTAAGTGGTGTGTTATGGTGGTTTGCCTAATTTTTTCTTTATTTGCAAAACATACATCACAAACAAGACTACACAAGCAAACCCATTTTGGTTCTAGGGACACCTATTAGGCATGTTTAAGGTCCAGCAACAGGAATTCAAATGTGGGATAGGGATAGGGACAGTGACAGGGATATGTCAGAAAGCCAGACTCCTGGCTCTGGTTCCAGATCGTTTGTCTCAGAAAGTACAAGTTTTCAGAGCTCAGTGTCATTGTTAGTAGAGTAGATATTAAGTTTTAGCATGGTACATATATTACCACACTTTGTCAAAATGTAACATTTAATCTATACTCACATATTGTAATTAGTGTTCAGGAATAAAAGTACAAGGGAAATACCAAACCCTTAATTAATCCCTATTGTCAGTTATCTACATTTACAAGTGTGGGTGAGAGCTGAATTTTTTTTAACAGCTGAGAAGGATCTTAACACAGCTGTTAGCATGACATCACTTGTGAATATAAAACTTCTCCCTCAGTAGCTGCTGATGTGCATTGTGCTGACTGAAAATTAAGCCCTTGTGCTGTTAAAATGGTAATGGGTCTCCAGGCTTCCCTCCTAGGCTAAGCAGATCTCTCTCTTAGGTCATTAGGGAAGTGTGTAATGAAATAAACCTATCAACACCCCTTAAAACAATGCTGAAAGCATCTCCCGGGTGAAATCCTCTCTGGCTTTGTACCTCCACTCCTCTATGAAGTCTTCCTCAGGCACATTGCTCAGGTCGTTGTGACCGATCCCGTCAAAGAGGCCACACAAACCTCTGGTGCTGTTGAAGTCACTGCTTGGTGTCCTCACTGTCACACCCATTCCCCACTTGCTCATGTCAGCTCGAACAAATGCACCCGAAGGGAACAGGATCTGAAGAGGCAGAAAAAAAACCCAGTCAACTGAAGCTCTTACCAAGCTTTTTTATGCAATAAAAAATGTCTTTTTCCATAAACGAAAATATCAAAGCAGGACGTTAGTGATGACGGTGGTAATTTAAGATCACTTAGATGCACTATAAATATTTATTTGTGCTCTTATTTAGCTTGCTTTCAGGGTCTATGGTTTTGCTATCTGATAACATTACATAAATATAAAACTGCACAAGTACTTCTTTTTTTAAATTAATAATTGCATCCATTGAAGTTTTCCCACTGGTAAGTTAGCAGCTAATTTTTGTAGTGACTTCCATGACAATAAGGCCACCCTTGTGTCTTTGCCTGGGAAATAATTTCTTTTAGATAAACTGCCAAGTTTGAAAAACAGCTTTCTTCCCTCTGAAAAATTGTTTCATTTTCCAAGGCTAGATTATCCAGGAAATGATTGTGTTTTAAAGTGGATAAAGCAATTTTCTCATTAAAGAACTAGTGGTAGGCTTACACTGACCTTTAAAAGAAAAAAATCTCAAAGTTCAGAAAAAGAAGTAACTGTGTGGATAATGGATTTTTCAGACTGGTTTACTAACCAAATAATAAAAAGGAAAAAAGGTAGAAAGAAAATATTCGTTCAACTGAAATATATTTTTGTTTGTTTGCATCATTTTTACAGGTAAAAAAGAAAATTATTTGAAAATTATCTGTGCCAGGAGTGGGAGCAGGAGCATACTATCCCAATAAGTAACTTAATATTTTTCTTTTTATCCAAAATTAAATGCTTTCTGTTAATCTTAGAAAGTACATCAAAGAGTTGAAAACATATCATTATAATAATTTTAAAAGAATTATTTTCCTTTTCTAAGTGGTCCCTGCCTAAGTATAATTTATTCAGCCAAATAATGTCCATTACTTTTCTTTCTACTGGTGAGGATTTTTTTGTCTTTTCTAGGTTCCTCCCCACCAAATCTATTCATATCTGTGAAGGAGCAAGAAGCTGATATTTTTATTCCTGTGTTGGCATCCAGAGTTTACATATTGGCTCAATTAAATAATAATCCTGTCTATTTTAGCTTCTCAGCCATCATTTCAGGCATGGGAAAACTTTTTGAGGAGCTCTCCATGAATGATGTCCTTGTTCAGCTGAGTAGAGCAGCAAAGCACCACTGATTGCAACGACAGCTGGGGACAGTGTTTTGAACTCAGACCTTCTGTGTTTTGATCAGGGTGTTTAAATCATGCTTTTTTTCAAAAACTATCAACCTTTGGGAATAATGGATGTCATCTTATAAAATCAGTACTTTGAATACCTCAGAATGTCTTGGCTGTCCCTCCACCTTGTCTGTCCCTCCACCTTGGCAGTACTTGTGTTTCACTTCCCAATGCAAGTTTAAAAAAACCTCCAATGATTCCCCAACATAAAGCTCAGATGGACTGAGGAGTTAACTTTTGCTTTGTAGTTTAATGGGTAGAGCAGGAGAACTGCTGTTGACTGGGACCAACTTGAGCCAACAGTGTGTACAGGTGGCCAAGAAGGCAAATGGCATCTTGGCCTCCACCAAAAATAATGTGGCCAGCAGGACTAGGGAAGTGATCATCCCCCTGTACTCAGCCTGAGGCCACACCTCGAGTACCGTGTTCAGTTTTGGGCCCCTCACTTTAAAAAGGACATTGAGGTGCTGGGGCAAGTCCAGCGAAGGGCAATGAGGCTCATAAAAGGTCTGGAAAACATGTCATATGAGGAAGGGCTGATGGAATTGGGTTTGTTTAGCCTTAAGAAGAGGTGGCTCAGGGGTGACCTCATGGCTCTCTATAGCTACCTGTACGGGGGTTTATAGAGAGGTGGGCACTGGTCTCTTCTGCCATGTCTGCAGTGAGAGGATTAGAGGGAACTGTCATAAACTGAGACAGGGAAGATTCAGAGTAGATGGTAGGAAAAAAAATTCATTGTTAGGGTGGTCAGGCACTGAAATAAGGTGAACAGGGAGGTGGTGGAGTCACCATCCCTGGAAGTGTTTAAGAAGTGTCTGGATCTGGCACTAGAGGATATGGTTTAGGGTTTAGGGGTTCCAGCAGTGTGGCAGGTTAATGATTGGACTTGATGATCTTAGTCATCTCCTCCAGCCTTAATGATTCTATGATTTTACAACACTGTGCTGGGTAGGATTTGATTTCCTTCTTCACACAAACATGTATCTTCTAATTACATGCTTTACTGCAGGGAGGAGCATTTCCTACAAGGCTGTGTGTAAAATCCTTGCAGTGAGAACTGCATGAACTGTTCAGTCTTCTGTGCTGTCTGGATTAATATTTCCAGGTGTGGATTTATTTCAGGAGTCTGGAGAACTGAAACACTTTCCTTTCCTGCTGCCACAGGCAATGCATCTTACCTGGATTTAATGCTCCTGATTGAGGCTTTCAAGAAGCTTTTTTGGGACCTCAGTTTGCAGAGGTATATAGTGACTGGCTGCTGGAAGCTGCCACCTTTCACAGAATAGAGTGACTTGAACCCTATTCAAAGCCACTTTGAATGTTGTGGGACCCAGGGGGGACCCAACTCCTGTGCTGTGTGAGGATGATGATGGACAACTGCTGAGCAAACTGGGATGCACTGTGCTTCATGGTGTGATCAGAAATTGTGTTCACTACTGCACAGTTCCTGCAGACTCCCATTCAGAGCAGAGCAGAATTCATATTTGTATCCCTGGTGTGTCCTGATTTGTTTCCCTGAGACTTACCTGAGGTGCAAATGAGAATAGGGATTCCTTGCTAAGATTATTCTAGTAATAAAACAGTAATTATAGTGCATTCAGTTACAAAACAAAATGACAGCTTGATTCCTGCTTTTTTCTCTATTCTGTAATTAACAGACTTTCAATTACCACTTTTCTGAGATCTAATCCAAGCAAGATCACAAGGAGAGCCAAGCACAGGTACTCACTGCATCATTCTGGCTCTAGTGTGGACCGACCTTCATCCAAAACATTTCATAGTGATAAATCTTGACGATACAACTCTAGAATAAAATTATATTCTTGGCCATATTTTGCAGCTCTTCTCCTCACCAAAACCCCTGGAGCAGCCTGCTCTTATTCTTCCAGTGATTTCACTGGATTAGTGTGGATAACTGATACTTATGCAAAGTATGTTGTGGCCATATATTTTTTAGGCAAATGCTTTACATTACACCAAATGTTGCACATTTGCAGCCCATTTTCATAGATTTTGGGGGCTATCTAGATGTGACGAATAGTGCCTTACTGCTCCACTCTAAAACTCCATTATTCTGCTACCTGTGATCTTTTCTTGAATATTTATACCCTGAGCTCTGCAAAGAAATTTGCTTTATGTGATGCAGTTGGGTAGTGCCTGGCATAAACAAACAGGGAGAGAGCTGCCATACTGCAGAGTGAGTAACAATATTAGTGCTCTGCTATGTCTCTAAGAAATTTCCAGAGATATTTGTTTTGTTTTGTTTTACAGTTTGTTAAACTAATACTTTAACCAGCTACTTCCCTGCATCTTGTTTTGTGCTACATTTTGCTGCAGGCTCTCTTATGGCTTCAGATAGATATATTCATAGCAACTTCATTAATAATTCAGAAACATTAAACCCATGTTTTAAAGCACAACAACGACAAGGGTGCTCAACCATCCACATACTGTTATTTTCCTGCCTCCGTAGGACTTTAGGATTTTGACACGTGGCGATGCCTCAGTGCTTTTGATGGTTAGCTGGGGTCTGCTCTCATGAAAGTGACTGTTGCAGGTGTCCAGCACCACAGTATCACCCCCTTCTTGTGCAGCCACACCACAATTGCAGGCAGTGGCAGAGCGATGACCTCCACAATCCCACTGCCTGACATGAACTTCAAACGTCCGTGATAAGCTTCGACACAGGAGGAAAGTCCCAATTTTATAGTTGTCATAACGCCTAAACAGCAAAAAAGAAACCAAACCAAAGAGGATTTAGACACCCTGAGCATTCACCTGTGGTGGTTAGGTGTTGGTATTCATACAACAGTGCTCCATAATCAGACCAGTGTGGTGGTTGGCCTTGAAGGATGGAAAAGTCAAAACATGTGGAAGCATTTCTCTGGTGCTGTATCCAAGGGAATGCCACCACAGTTATTAGCTGGAAGTGCATAAGAATTCCTGTGAAAAATGGGCACCGTCTCCCAGCTGCTGCCATGGCAATGGGCATGGATGAAAAGGATAAACATTTGATATAAGGCAAATGGGAAAAAGTCCTTGCCTCTGGGTCTTAATAAATATGTTTTGGTTCTAACTGGATGCTTACAGCACGATCATCTTCAAAAAGAAACCAAAATAACCACTTCTGTGACTAATCACCATCTTTTACAAGGCTGGCTGCAGCTAGGTAAAGGCTTCCTGTGAAAATCTGGGATTCTCCTGAAAATCTGTTTAAATGAAGTTGGTTCCCCACCTCAACAACTTCCCTGTATGCGCAACTTTCACACTAAATGGATTGGCAATCCACACAAGGCAGCGTGGTGAACGATTTGAGACTTTCATTCTTCTCTGTACAGAATGTCCTTGCTCTGTCTGAGTGAGGCCAGGAGCAGAATAACTGCAATCACTTTTCAAGTGTTACCCCTCTGCACCAGCTCCCTGCAGCCCTTGGGGTTTCCACAACAGGGACCTATGAGATGATCCTCTTTTGCTTATTCTTTGTGCTCTCACTCCATAAACTTCTCCTATTCTTACTCTATTTTATTCTAATGTGTTGTATAAAAGAAAAGAGTAGCTGTATACTTAATATATGTTGCTGAAGTTTTCTCCTACAAGCCAACAGCTTCCATCTTTAAAACCCGTGGATAATTCTACTTTCTTTTAGGGCACTGCAATTAGTTTTAAACATGATTTTTATGAAAGTAAGTAATATGGAAACTAACATATAAGCTTATAATAATAAGCATTATTCTTTTCTATAATAAAAAAATGTAAAAAGGGATGTGAAAAATAAATAATGGGATTATTTTTAAGCTCTGCCATACAAACATCACTATTTTTTGGGGCCATTAATGTTTTCTTTACTGAGGAACAAATGGCTCAAGAACCACGATTTTTTAGCATGCATATTTCTACATTTTATTTCTTTTCAGAATAAAAGCCATAGAAAACTATGTGGCTTAAAACACAGTAAGAATTTAAACTCCAACTGCTTTTCTCTGCTACAAAACACATCTGACTTTATCTTTCATCTTGAAAAACTTAGTCAAGTTGGCCGTAAAATGATAAGATTTTGAATGGTTCTGTCTCACCTTCTTTCCTAATCAGGTACATAAATCCTAAGTGCACTGCACAAATGCTGCTGCCAGGATTGATCAGAACTAAGGACAACAAAAAAAATAGATAATCTCCTTTAACATTGTGTGCTTGTTCCATTTGGACCACTTCACAGGAGAGAGAGAGCAGACAAGATATTTTATGAGAGCACCTTCCACACTTTCCTTCAATAGGTGCAGCTTAGAAGGAAAGGTGTTTAGGGATGGAAAATGAGGCATCAGAATGTCTGTACCCATACTAATCATCTCTATTTGGTAAATAAGACTGTATTAACATATGCATCTAAATGCCACTGCAGTTATGGGAGCTATTTACTGCTCAGTAAGCACTGACAGTGGACCCAATCCAACCTTCCTGGAAGTCACTTCAAGTCCTTCAATTAAGTCATGGCATAGATTGCATAGCACATAACGAACCTGCACTGTGTCTAAATTAAAGCTTTCAGCTGCCTTTGAATCAGTTGAATGGATAATTGAATACAGCCAGGTAAACTTTTGTGATGTTTATACAACTGTAATTGTGATAATGATTCTTTGGACAACATTTGAGAAATTGGCTGTGGCACTAAAAGCATGAAGTAGACTTAGTGGAGCTTACTGGAGCTCTTGCACAAGGGAGTTCAGCATGTTCTTTGTGGATCAGGCACCACTGTTTGTGTCTAAGTTGCCCTCCACAGGGCACTTCCCCATCCTGCTTCCCCAATAGTCTGCACCAATAGGTGGACTGGGTGGAATGGAGTTCCCTCCCTCCCCATCTGTGTGCTTGGGTTGTTTTGCTTGTGCAGCAAGTTCTTGACCCAGCATGAAGTCTCAAGTTATGCTCTTTATCCAGGAACTATAAAACACTCCTAATTCTTTGGTTATGACAGTGAGATGCTATAAGAATCATTTCTGTTGGTTAATCATAAGAGAGGGACAGAAGGAAATATGAGCATATGCAAATAATTACTAGTAGTAGCATTAGATTAACTAACACTACACACTCTTCACCAAGCTACACTTCATCTTTTTATTAATATAGTGATTATTGTGACTCCAGGAAGTGCTGAGTGATGCTGGAGGAAATTGATTTCAGAACTCTCATCACATCATGTTGTCCTCAGGAAGCAAAGCTGTTGGGTTATGTTCAGCAGTCACTGGGTGGTTGGGAATGGTTTTGATAGTCTACAGACTATCAAAAAAAGCCAGCACCTGGAGGGACTGCTCATGTCCAGGACTTAGTTGTGGGCTACTATGGTGAATGTCAATAAAGTCAACCAGAAGTGTGAAACTCTGCAAGCTGAAGGATTTTATCATGGTGCATGAAATGGCACCATTGTTCTGGTGATAATACTGATGTATGGGTCAGTGTAAATGCTTGAGAAATCTGAAAAACCTTTTTACCTTTTATTTTTTTAAGGTAAAATGCAAATAACATGAATGATGTATAAAGTTCACCAATCAAGAAATATTTCCTTTTTTATTTTTTCCTAAAAGGATTTTCTGCATATTTAGTTTTAGGCTAGTACTTCATGTTTAAGAATCTGCAATTTATGGCATGAAAAGCTTTTATATTTATAATGTGCCATAACTAGTAATGAGGGTTATACTTTTGCTTTACCAGGCTTTCACATTTGTTTAATTTAGAAGGTACTTTGCTATAAAAGGAAGTGCTCTCTCTGGATTTTAGCTGGTATAATTAACGCTATTTCACATCTACGCTCCAATATACACAAATTGATTGTGCTTATGCTGTAAAATATGACACATTCTTTGATTTTTCAGTCACTGCCTTTGGTGAAGAGAGTGAAAAGATTACAAGATAAATATTTCTACAGACATATATTAGCAGGAGGCATACCAAGGGGGAGTGTTAGCATTAAGAAGTGGGAGTTAGGTATTTCAGTTGTGTAATGAATATCTAACTACCTCAAAGGTAATGTGAGCTCACTATTTCAGATTTAAAACCATCAAAATCATCACTATGTAAGTTGCAAAGTGCATTGGAAGTGGCCATTTCAGTAGGAAAATTCTACTACCGAAAAGAAAAATATTTGATTCTTTTGATTTTTATGTCATTTTTCAATTTTCCAATGACCCTGGTAAAGAGATCATTCAAATAAATCTTTTTAATTAAGTTCAATTTTAAATTTTAATACTTTTGATTTAAATTTTGAAGCCAAAAAAGTTGCAATTTTCTGTTTTCGTGGGTTTTTGCATCCTTGCTTTTCTTTACTGGGTATTTTTCCTTCTTTTCACTGCTGCTAAAGGGAAAGTCAAAGAAGGGAAACAACTCTGTAGAAGGCAGGAGTATGTTTATGTGTGTTCCTGTTTACATAGAAGACACTCCTATCATTTTGTTGTTGGCAGTGTTCCCCATCTTCAGACTGCCCCTTGGTTTTCATGTGACAGTTCTTCAGGGACCCATCCCCAGGACTCGAGTGGGTCCAGTGGTGCCACAGAGACAACTGATCCCCCTCATCCACACCAGCTCTGCTACCACACTGTGATCTTACATTCTGCTGCCTCATGTAAACTAACCTACAGGGTATGGGGTGGCACAAAATTTCCTTGCATTGTCCTGTGTGATGGATGCTCTGCTGTGAACCTCAGAAACAGTTTTGATAGTATATCAAACTTTGTTTGCTGACAACTTTGGAGCCATATAGAGGCAGGTAAATGCCGGTATTTTTTTAATTTCTCTCTGACTAATTTTGAATGGATCTTTTCTTTCCTGTGTAATACTCTCACCTGAGCCTGTGTTTACAGATCGCTTATAATAGACATAGATCCAGATGCCCACGAGCTGATGCTCTGCTCATCCTCTCAGCCTATTGCTTCATTCTCCCTAAAATTTCTCTTAGCTATTTCTCTTCTCTTCCTTCCCCATTTGCATTCTGCAGACCAACCTCTTTCTGATCCTTTATTATTCTTGGGGCACACTCGTGTGGTTTCTTACTTGAGACCACAAGCTTTTTCTACAGTTCTTCCATCCACAATACCTGACACACACCTCATTTCAAACACATTTTCACACCACATTCCCTTTCATGACCAAAGGGGAATACTTCAGTTCCAGACCTCTGTGTCAGCCTTTGGCTTCAGGTTATAGTTTTGTATCAAGATAGAAACAGGAATTGCATTCTCCACTTCTTAAATACAGAGCTTGAAAATTATTTTCTAAAGTGTGAACATTTTTTTTTTTTGGAGAGGCAGACAGAGAAGTTGCTTAACTGATGTGTAATAAGGTAGCATAATCATTATAATAACTGAAAGGGAAATTATTTACAATAATAAATGGGAATATAAGTAGGAGTAATGGGACTGTGAAATGATGGGTAAGAAACTTGGCTGAATATCAAGAAGTGATATATCTTAGTGGAATAACCTAGTTATTGAGATGGCAGGAGCCCCATCAGCTTGGCTCATTTAAAGCTGCACTGGACAGAGCAGTAATGAACGTCCATCCACAAGGAAGAAATGTGCAGTTATCGAGGGGCCAAGCTAATCCTGGGATTTTTCTCTTTCAAGGCTGTGTGACTCTGAGGCAGGATGACACAGAAGGACAGGCTTTTTCAACCTCCCTGTGCTAAAATAGAACATAAATTGCTTAGAAGCATTTCTGTGTGCTACCAATAACAGGATTAAAAAATGAGTTATTCAAATAAAATTGCTTTATTTCATTTTAGATCTTTTTTTCCAAGCTAATCCTGGGATTTTTCTCTTTCAAGGCTGTGTGACTCTGAGGCAGGATGACACAGAAGGACAGGCTTTTTCAACCTCCCTGTGCTAAAATAGAACATAAATTGCTTAGAAGCATTTCTGTGTGCTACCAATAACAGGATTAAAAAATGAGTTATTCAAATAAAATTGCTTTATTTCATTTTAGATCTTTTTTTCCTTGGAGGAAATAAAATTGCTTTATTTCATTTTAGACCTTTTTTTTCCCTTGGAGGCAATGTAAAAATGTGCTACATGGCTGAGAGGGTGTTCCCATTCCAAGAGGCACTTTTCAGTAATTTATTACTCCCTAAACATAACAATCTGGCAGATCACTGTCCATTCTTATCCCTAAATCAAAAGGGAATATTTTAGAATATAAATGTATAGAGAGGTTTGAAATAATATTCTGGTCAAGTTTAATATCCCTCAGTTGAAATAACTCCAGATACATGAGGCATGGGAATGTCTTTGAACCTCTTGTAACTCTTCTGAGGTTTCTACCTATCAAGCAACGAAACTTGCATGAAACAAGTTCCAGACCACATTAGAAATGCTGTTCAACAGAGCAGGAGGGAGACTGGGAAGCTGTAGATGTGCAGAGCTAATCTCCCAGCTCAAACTACTCAGTTTAAGTGAAATCTTTATTTGAGGCAGATGTATAACCTTTAATGGAGTCACTACCTTTCTTACTCATGTTTCAGCAACAGATTTCTACAGCCTTGGTGTTTTTTCAGATGCCACTTCCAGAGCATGTTGAACTGAAATTGGGACAGTAGGGTGTCAGAATGTTGTGCCTGTTGAGCCCTTGTGGATGCTGTGCACCTCAAGTCATTATCTGTGCCACGAGGAGGCTAACAAAGGAATGGCAAGCCTGGAATGTGATCTGAAACATTAACAACTTTGGACTAAATGTGCCAGCTGCAAACTTTAAAAATTTTCTATGATGTTAATTAGCTGGGATAAATAGATTCATGACTGATTAGGGATGTTAAAGGAAGAAAAGTCCTGTACAGTTCAGGCTGTCAAACACAAAGATAACACTTTGGCTCACTAAGTCTTTAAGCAGCTTATTTAGGGATAATATAGAAGGACATGTGGACACTACAGGAGGATGTACAACTTTCTTTTTGCACTCTTCCCCTGATATTTGTCACTGTTCAATTCTGGACTCTGGGAAGGACCAGGCTCTACCTGTGTGCTGTGCTGCTCTAGGGACATAATGCCTCACTTGTGTAGCAATGAGATGTTGCTAACACGATGCCACGTGGTGTGGACACCCTCTCAAAGTCATTAGTGATGGTTCTGTTTGAAGAACATTTTGGAATCTGACCTTTGTCTTATAAAACTTATTCAGACTCAAACCCATTCCTTCTTCAAGATGAATCAATTTCTAGTCCTTTTGTTAAAAGGAGTATAAACAGCTGGAAGGAAACCATGTATGTTATCAAATCACGACATTCCTCACTGTAAGCAAATTAGTACAACACTCTTTTGATATTCTAATGTGAAACCAAATGCATGCCACATCCAGAAACTGATAACTGCAGTAATTGAGCCAAATTATTTCAAAGTAGAATACTCACCATCCATCAAAAGTGATAATGTGTGGATCAGTGAAAGAGTAGCAGTTCCCTGTTGGGAGGTCTCGAACTGTGACCTAGTTAAAATGAAATGTGTAATGAATACAGTCTACACAGCAGTTTCTCTTCATTACTGTTCCTCACAAAACATTAGGGGCAGGATTCATGGGTTAAGTACAAACTACAATCTGACTTCTGAAACATGATTGCGGATGGGTACAAAATCGGCTTCGCTTTCAAACCATGGAGTTTAATCACATGCAATAAGGGAGTTCAAAGTGCTCCTATTCCACCTAATGCAATGCATCATCTTTCCTTATCTGGTAAAGTATGAAGCTTTTTTTTTATTAAAACTTTTTGCTAAGAAGTAGATCATTCACTGAAATTATCAGGAGAGTAGAGTGCTCATTAAATTGTACTAATTTTAATGCCTGAAGTATGGTATAAGGTATGCTGTAATTAAGAAGCATTAGCATCTTTTAGTAGTAGTCACTGCCTGTCCCATAATTTGACCTTAGATTTCCTGATAGGTCACCTGAAAGGCTGATTTAAATATTTGATGTGCAGGTACTGATGATGAGGTCCCAAATCAGGCTGCTGGATCTGCCTGTTTTTGGCAGGTGAATAAAAGAGGAAAGGGTCTATTATAGCAACAGAGATCATCATCTACATCAGCTCTTGGTTACTTGGGCACTAGTTGGGTGATAGAAGAGGTGTGAGAGTCCTGGTACCCTGCAAGGAGCAGATATGCCTGTGAAAGCCAGAAGCAGGACTTCAAAACTCTAACAGGCAATGCTGGGCCCACACTGTGATATCTGCTCAAGATGGTGTTTTTTTCTCAGGGGAATGATCTGCTCTCCCTTTCTCAGAAATGCAAGACTGGGTTGTGTAGTGATGTGAGATATGAAGAGCTCCCAGTCATACTGGTGGGAGTGATGAAATATTTGGGTTTTCCCACATCCATCCTGCCAGACTGGGTTCTTGGCCAGGGCAGTTAATTCTTTGCTCACTCTTTGCCCATGAGAAGTCCACTTCAGTTAGTTCTACCAGGTTCCATGGAGCAAGGAAGAAAAATGGCTGCTATATCCCTGTGCAGTCTTTCAGTGACAAAGCAGAATTTAGCTTTTGGAACAGTGATGAAATTAAATAAATTAACAAGAGGGTGAAGATAGAACTACAGTTCCTGACAACATTCCTTGCCAGCAGCAATACATCATCTGTATTTCAAAATGCCCCTAAGCCATCACAAAGAAGCACTGCTTAGACAGCCACTGGTGTCTGACATACCCAAACATTAGAGCTATGGTCTTGAGAACAGAAAAACCAAACACCACCTTAACAACATTTTGATCTGAGGTCATTTGTATCAGATCTACAGTGTGATATGAAGATGTGTCTCAGAATTTTCCCATTTTCTCCACAGCCTCACACTTCCTAAGAAAAACTTTAGCACAGACAAATCCATATGGCCCTTTCTACTCTGCTCTTTCTTGCATGATAGCAGCAGAAGATGCAAGTTCTGGTTGTAGGCAGGCATAGTTTGCTGAGAAAATCCTCTTTATCCAGTGTCTGAATGTGTCAGGATGTTCTACCCCACATTTCCATTCAATTTTCAGATAAATCAAAAATATTTAAACAAGTCAGAAGGACTAAAGATTATGTGGATTTTAATGTATGGACTTTTCCTTGCTCTGTTGCAAGATCTGTGTTACATTAAGGCCTCTAATTAACTGCAAAGCAGCAACAGGGAAATGGGGGAGAGGGAAGGTAATGTCTATTATATTTCCATAGATCAAGTTTTAACTGAGATAAATGGAATTTATTATTAAAATTGATTAATTCAATTTCACACTTGCTACATTTTCATATTCTAATGAAAGCATTTGCAACTTGAAGAAAAAATATGGGTATGTGAGTGCACTACACAGAATTAGTTGTAATTTCTGATTTAAGATTCTTAGAAAGTTTAAGAGAAGCCTGTGCTGGAGAGGAAAGGTTATAGTCCCACACTTGGCATTTTATCTTTGAAGACAAAATATCTATTAGTCCAGTTTAATCTTATTCTCTCATGAACAAATCCACTAAAATTAGGGCAGGGAAATTGTGGATTTCATTAGGGGTTTGTTTTCAGTTACTTAAAATATGCCAGCTTGGATGTGCCACTGCTCTGAGAAATTTAGCTTAGTCAAATCTGTGCTCTGGTTAACTCTCTGGGGCAGTGGGATTACAGCTCCCAAACCTCCTGGCTGAGCCCCTGAAACAGCTTCACAGGCACAGGGCTGGTCCCTGCTCACCACGTTCCTTTGGCCAGGCTTTCTGCAGGAAAAATGTGGCTTGCCTCCCTGATTGCTTATATTTATTTTGGGCATTTTGTACAGGGCTAAGAAAAAAGACAGAGCAGCCACGTGTGTCCTGTTGATTCCTGGCACAGTCCCAAATTGGACATGGCACTGCTGAGCCCTGTTCTCTCTCATTTCCCAGGCACTGCCTTTCCTCTGCTTTTTCAGAAAACATTCTCCAAACCCTTGGTTTTCCCCCTCCCTCATGGCTCTACATGTTAAATTTCTGGGTGTATGAAGAGACTGCTTTGGTGTACTCTGCTCACAGAGGGCAGAATTAGATTAGATTTTAGGAAAAAATTCTTTCCTGTGAGGGTGGTGAGACACTGGTACAGGTTTCCCAAAGAAGCTGTGACTGCCCCATCCCTGGAAGTGTTCAAGGGTGTGTTGAATGGGGCTTGGAGCAACCTAGTCCCTACCCATGGCAGGGGTTTGGAACTAGAGGATCTTTAAGGTCCTTCCCAACCCAAACCATTCTATGATTACATGACAGCCATCCCAAAAGGTTTCTATAGTTAAGATTTATCAGCATCTCATTTTCTTTTGGAAAAAAAAAAAAAGAAAAAGAGCCTCTCATTTAAATTTGACAGGTTTTCCAACATATTTTAGCACCGACCTTCACGTCCTTGGATGTGTAAGTTCTCCAAAGCAAATCCCTCTGTCCCACTGGCTCAGCTCTGATGTGGCTGATGCGGTTCCCATCCTGGGCAAAGTCTGTCACTGCTGTCACTGTCACTGTGGCTGCTGCACAGCTGCTGTCCGAGCAGGATGCCTGCAGGAGATCCACCTGGCATGTGGAGAGGGCGATGTTTGGGGGCCCCAGTAAGTGGCTGTCTAAAATGAACATGAACATGGATTCTGACAAGAGTTCTCCAAACACTTGCCCATACCCTGTTTACAGTTTGGCACAAATGTTTCACATTCCAGGACACACATGCCTTGAAACCAGATGGGGTTTGCATGTAGACAGTTGTGACTGACTGAATCTGGCATCTCTCTGCACATTTTACTGTTCTATTATTTTTTTCCCCATGTGTTACACAGTCTACTGAAACTCACTGGTGCCTTTTTTTTCCACAGGTGCTAATATTTCTGGAATGACAGTGTTATCTTTATGGGTCCCTGCCCAGTGAATGAAGACAAGTAGTTCTCATGGCAAAGAAAGAGATGAGTCTGCATTTCTGGAAAATATTTCTCTTTCACTAGCTTGAGTATAAGAAGGTATCTGCTGGGAGCTGCTTAATTTAAACAGATTTTTTGATGTGGAAAGGGTTCCTGAGTCAGGTTTTAGAGAGCTAGGGATCCACAACAGGAAGGCAAGTGCAGCAGATCTGTATTTGTATTTTTGTCTTAGCTAGGTTATGCTGCTTTACTTTCCAGTCTGTAAAATGATGGCTGTATGCTTCACAGAGATGGTGTGAGGATAAATTCACTAAAAGAATGTGGAAAAGTGATAACCTGTGGTGGTACTGGCTATCTAAGTATCTGTGGTGGATTGGTAAGTGATGAGTGGTGGTAAAATCAATATGGCAATGGCAACCCAAGTACTGCATGTAGCTCTTCCTCTGCACATCATATTTTTCCTACAGGGAACTGCAAGCAGTAACAATGGTAGCCTCCACTTTTCCTGGGTCCTGCCCCTTGCTGCTGATGTCTCAGGTAAAGGGCAAACCTGGATTTTTATTTTCATTGACGTGTTTTTCCTTGCAAACACTGAATTATGATAGCATTTAGTTCTGAGCCATCTGGTCTGCACTGCATATAGTGTGTATCTGCTTCTCAAGAAGCTACCCAACCCTTCTTGAATCTTTTGGTTGGTAAAAAATGAAATCATGGCCTGGCTGAAGCCAGTCAGAATCTCACTGCTGATTTCAGGACTGCCAGCATTTCTTGGGGAATATTTAGCTTTCTGTCCCAGACCATTAATTATCATCTGATAAGAATAAAGTTCTAGAAATGGTGGCAATGCAATTAATCTGGGATGAAAATAAGTGATCTTATGATATTAAATTAAGTTATTTTCATATCATTTTCCCATTTGTAGTATTGCTTAATAATTTATAGAGATGGCATTAAAGTATTTGAAGATGACATTTCTAACACAATCAAATAATCAATGTTTTATTCCTTATGGAAAAGACTCATGAAATATAATTTAAATTAACCCTGTAGAGTAATATAGGAACTGAACTAAAATCTACAGATATTAATAACATATTATCTCTCACATCAAATCCTTAAAGGCTTCCTCACATCTTATAGAAAAGTCCTGGCTCATTTTCAAGGTTCTTGATTCAATTAAATTGGAGGTTTCCATGAGGAATAGTTATTGCCATTACAGCCCCATGAGCTGTGCTCACAACCCAGAACAAAAGTTTAAAATCAGAGAGAATCATCTTGTCAAAATAGAAATGATAAACTTAACAGAAGCCAAACTCCAGTGGCTCTGCTGTGCCTTGGCATTCATTATGATATTGTCTGAACTTGGAGAGATATTTCTGTGCTTGTAATTAGCTTTCTTATCACTTATTCCCTACATAATTAGCACCACAGTGTTGTTATATGGATCCAGTCAGACAAGGAGCTTGTCAGTTAATTTATTCAGTATAAATGAATCTCAGCTAAAATGTTTTTTATTTCTAATTTACAGCACTGTGGCCAACACTCCATTTTCAGATGCCTGTGGTGTTCCTTCAGATAAACTAACAGGCCCTAAAGACAATAAAGGCACATAACAAACATGTGGCTATGCAAACACCCAGCAACAGGTACTCAACCTTAAGAATATATAGATAGTTCAATTGATCATAAACAGCTCAAGTGTAATCTGAGGAAATAGTCACAGGATGGAGCAACCAAGGGCTAGAGCTGAGTTTAGTTTGAGCTGCAGAAATGAGTTGATTAAAACTAGCAGAAATTTTCTACTTCACTGACAACTTCCTTCAAAGATTAGTTAATTGGATGAATCGGTTCTTCGTCCTGGCTCCTCTTGGCATCAACACATCAAGCCCATTGACAGCTTGAAAATAGAGCTACTTCTGCAAGTCTTGTCTTGTCTTTCTTCCAGTCAAATGCATGTTGTGGGACTGGAGAAGACATTGTCAAGGGGTCAATCTCAGCCTGTCTGATCTATCAAGCTCAGCCTCCCCCACCTGAGAGCTCCTGGACCATGCTTTCAGTGTCTGAGATTTTGAAAGGCTTTATTGATGGCTAAGAAATGTGAGTCTAAAAAATGGTCTTGACTGGGACTAATTCTTATTTGCTCCTCACAACAGTCAGTCTGTACGTTGCTTGGATTCTGTGGACGTGTCCCACCACACAGCAGCCTCAATATCCTCAATCCCTCAGTATGGGTAACCTCTTAGCTACCTCGAGATCCAAGAAAATCTGTTCCCATGAGCTCAGCGGATGTTTGCCTGATGGACCCACAGAGACTAAGCCAAGAGCAATATGTAGAACTGAGCAGCACTGAGCCATGGAGAAATGCAAAGTACTCCACGCACGAGAGCCAACACAGCTGCTGGAACCATAAGGTGCTGCTCAGTTTAAGATCATTGTGTTATGATACCATTTGAATGATTTTTTTCCTTCTGTCTAAGCACTTGGCTGATGATGAGGAGAAAGAACTAGGAGAGGGGTTTAAAAAGTGAAAAATATCAGGAACTATCTGGGTTTTGCCAACAGTTTTAAGAGCTGGCTTTTTGTGGGTAGAGAAACTGTGGCTGTAATCCTATCTCTGAACATTTTTCTCATTGAGTCACCTACAGAAGAGCAATAAAGGCCTTGTGGGAAAAATGGTTGGATGTTTTATTCAGTGCAAATGGAAAGTAAATATATATACAACCCCCTTGGTTAGGTATGATACTCCACCAAACTGACCTGAGGAAAGCATTTACTGATTAAAAGGGCAAGAGTTTTCTAAATGACATTGTCAGTGTTTTTCAAGATAACAAAATTACTTTTAGAAAGAGAATAATATATCAGCATAAGAATGATTTTTTTTCTTTTATATTGAGTAAAAAAAAAAGTGTAAGCCAGAAAAAAAAAAGAAAGAAAAGAAGCTTCAGTATACATTTACTGAATAATAAATCTGCAGGAGAGCCTTTTATTGATAATTAATGAAATTATTCTACCTAAGAACACTGCTGCTACAAAAAACTTAAAATAGAATTTATACTCCTGGAATTTAAAAGAAGTTCTTCTACTCACAGTTATTTCATCCATAAATCTCAACAGACTACCATTCAGGTTATTGCTAGTCAGATTTATGGTTTTGGATTTTTTTTGCTCAAAAACCTGTCTGATATTATCAGCAGTTTTATTTTGCAGTTAAATATATTGCCTAGTTTGTTGATTTTATGGCTTCTGTCCTTTGTTATTATTTACACCTTATGTTTTCTATTAGAATTCATTGCAACTTAAATACTGGAAAAAGTAACCACAAAAATTTGATGTCAATATGTAAAACTCTTACCCAAATCCTCAGTACTTAGCTGCAAAGTAATTTTACAGGAATCTTCCTTCCCAGGACAGGCAATGGGCACTGTGCTCAGAACAGTCAAAACATGTTCTTTGCCATCCTCTGCAATTTGTAGTGATTCTGGTAAAAACTGGAAATAAAAAAACCAATTTTTAGATCATTTTGACACATTAATTAGGCAACGCTGATATTTATGAAATTTTAAGTGGGTTTAATCAATTATGAAGATATATAATTGCTTGTAAAATAATAATAACTGTCATAATAATCCTCTTACTAATTTTGGTAGGAATGATCTTCAACTTTATAAGGTAAAATTGTTGTTAATATACTTTAACATTCTTGGCAATTAAGAGAATGTTTGCAGTTTCCGTATATATTGTATAATTGCTCCTCATCTCCAAATCTCAAAGTAGGTTTTTATTAAGCTTGAAAATAGCATGATACTGTAGAATTTATTAATTTTTAATATCCCTGGTTAAAAGGAGCTCCTAGTCCAAGATACTAGGAGAAATACCATGGCATAAAGTATGTCATAAACTCATGGTCATGGAACCTGTGTTTGTAGTCTGCATCAGGTGCAAAAGAAGTGCAATTTTTTTCCCAGTTGTCCTTCCCTCTATGGCAGGAAGAAGGATTTCTCTGCACATAACATATTAGAGCTTCAGGGGCTCATGCACCAGGGAGAGAGTTTGGGTTGTGCCATTTCTGTCTGTTCTCCAGGGCAAGAGCAGAAACTGCACTCACGGCTAGTCCGAAATGAGAATTTACATTCCTCAGGAAATTCTGATGTTTCAAAAAAACCCTCAGAAACTGATCTTCAAATATCACCCAGAATGGGCTGCCAGATTTTTCAAACACCATTTCTGGAGGACCTGGCCTTAGATACTCAGATGATCTCAAAATCTCCTGGACTGCCAAAATGACAACCTAATCCTTGAGTGGGATTAGACCTAGTTCCTGCACTCAGTGTGAATTTATCTTCAGCAATTTCTATTTTGCAATGCCTGACCATAAGAAGATGATGGATAAAATGTCCTTTTTTTTTTTTTGCTTTTTGCTTTTACTTTTTTTTTCTGATTTAGTTACAACAAAATTCTGCATCCTTGCAGGTTTGTGTCATCCCATTACACATAACCACCAGACTATTCTGAGACACATTTACTAAAAGACATAGTTTTGCTTCTACTTTGTGGTACATTAGTGTCCACACGTGTACACGGTGCTGGAAGGTGTTTTAGGGTGTTTTGCAAACAAACTGAAAGCCATTTGCTCAAAGTGAACATAAAAGCAGCACTGGTTATAATGATCAGGACTTACGTTTCTGCATCATGATTTTCAGAGTATGGACAAATATTTCCTAGCAAGTAAATCAGGGTTATCAGCATTACCTTAATCCCAGCATAGAAACCTTTGCTGTCTTCAGGCAGTGACTGCTGTTCAGGAGTGTCCCTTGTAAAAGCAGAAACAGTGCAAAAGACCTGTAATAAATAAATAAACAGCACATGCTATAGCATTTCTTGAATAACATTCATATAATTATGCACCTTCCTATTGCTCTGAGTGGTTAAGTTTTCTTTTGACTGAAATCTAGTTTGGGGATTTAGGCTTTAAGCATATTTATGCATAAATCTTGAGATTTGGAAGATTTTTTGATTCATTTAATAAGCAAAGAAACATGTTTTTTCTCTCAACAATTGATAACACTGAATTATTGTGATGTGTTTTCTTTTGCAGTTCTTCAAGCACTTTGGTGTGTGATATTAACTCATTTTAGCTGTTGCTGTCAGGATTAGGACATTTGCCTTTGGGGTCCCCAGACTTCACTCTGTCCACACAAGTGTCAAATATCCTCTCTCTGCATTCTGTTTGTGAGCAGTTTATTTTACAATGTAAATTGGTTTGATAATTATTCAGCCTCAGAAAATTTGTCATCAATGTAAGAAGCTCCTTTTTTTTTCTTATTGCATTATAAAAGATGATACAGATGTGCCTACAGGGTTTATATTGTAAAAGAGAAAAATAAAATAAAAATTTCCCCAAACCAGAAAGCTCCCCCAAACACAGTGTACCAGGACACTTATGTTTTATTCCTAGCACAGCCACACAACCTTTATCTCTGCTGAGCCTGCACACCATCTGCCATCTTAATGTTTCATTTGCTTCAGAAAACCTAAGTTGCTAAAATAATTTCTAGGATCATAAGATTAAAATACAGATTTTTTTTTTTTCCCTTAAAGCAAATGACAATAAACTCTGAAGCTGTAGTTCTGAATATTTTTTTTTGAGGACCTCATCTTGGAAATGGAGTAACAGATTGTGACATACTAAATCAAATTCCAAATAGTCAGCTGACATATTTATAGCTACTCCCTTTTTTAAGCTTCAAATAGCCCACGAGGAGGAACTGGACCAATCCATTTTGTTTTCCATTGCGATAAACTCCTTTGGATGGATTTTCCAGCCTCACTCACTGGCCATGCTGCTCTTGGTAGCTCTCACATGCATGACCCTCATCATGGGTAGCTGCAAAATAGGCTCAAAACCAGGATATTCCCAGATTCATGTGGTCATATGGGCATGAGTTGCCTAGCAGCCTAGGATATTTCTTTTACCACCCTAAAAATCCCTCTTCGTTACCATTAAATCTTGAGTTTCCTCCAAACTGAAGAATACTCAGCCCTAACTCATTTGCACACAACGAAAATTCCCCACCAGCAATACAGGGTCGTTTGTAGGGCTATGGGGAAAAACAAGTGTTGTCTGTGCTCTTCAAATGGATTATTTTCAGTCCAGCTCAGTCCCAGGCTTATGTGTCTTTTGGGTCATTTTTATCTTCAGAATTTTTCTCACTCTTTTGCAGACAGCTCCAGCAGGTTTGGCCCAGTGAAAATGGTGTCATTTATTACATTAACGAGATGGAAGCCCTGAGGTCATACTGGGTGTACTGGGGAAAAAAGAGACCAAGACCTCACCTCACAGGGATACTTCACAGTTCAAATTCCTCAGATATTTCATAGTTAGCTGGTTCACCTCTGAAGGAGAGCAAGTCGTTGTCTCCTCAAGGTAATAAGCCCCTGTTATCATTAGATATTTATTATCTCCAATCATTCCCTAAAGGCTTGTGTTCAGCTTACAGACTTTGCAAAACAGTTCTTCTGCTGGGAAGGCAGAAGGCAAACGTTGATCTACCTCCTGCTGCTTCTCCTACAGCTGCCACAGGAGAGTCTGAAAAATAGGGATCTGACAAGGCAGTGACAACAGAGAAAGAGTTCAGATAACATATATTCCCCCTACCAAAAGATAAATAATCCTGATCCCCTTGCAGAGCTCATTGAACAGATCATATGCACCTGCATTGCTGATACTATATTTGCACTCACTGGGCTGTTTGCACTTTTGGCTTCCATGCTTTTAACCAAACATGTTCACACTGAGCCTTCCCCCTGAACATGTCATGTGGGGTATTTTTGCCAGGGAGGGAGCTGTGATGAGAGGCAGCAGGAACACACACGAAGATGCCCAACACTGATAGAGGCATTGCCTGGTGATCACACACGAAGATGCCCAACACTGATAGAAGCATCGCCTGGTGATATTCCCCAAAGTGACATTCTGGGAAATATCAGAACACAGCTTCATTGCATTTTCTCACATATACATTTTAGAGGGATATTTTATTGATAAAGCACTGAACAGTCAAATTAAAGTTTACTCAGTAACAATACACTGAGATATTCTTAGACCATTCCAGCTCTATCTTCGTTACTTTTGGAGATCTTCAGTAGTTTTTGGAGATTAACACAAACTTTGCAAATTCAAAATGTATGGACAGCCATCACAAGCTACATTTTACTTCTGTCTTTTATATTGTTCCTCCACTTGTAGTGCCTTTACCTTGTTAGGTGCACACTTCACAGTCAGCAGATATGTTCACCAGCTACTGAGCTACAGGTTGACAGTTTGTCACATAATTATGATGATAGTCATTCTAAGGAGGGAATTTTTTTTTTGCCTTCAGCTAAATACTAGCTCTTTTTTCTTCAGTTCAGTAATCAACTTCTTCTTTCTCTTCTCTCCCCCCCTCTGCCTATCTCAGGATGCAGCCTTTTTAAAGCACAGAGATAAAAGCATCACTGACAGCAGTATGCTGATGGCCCTGACAAGTTAGGCAGTATTTTTCCACAAACTCAATGGATCTGTTAAAAAAATCAAATTATAATTGTTCATAATCCCTTTTAAAGGAACAGAATTGTAAGGGTGCCCTCAGACAGGATGACCAGTTTGCTTCTCAGCATGGGCTGCAACCTTTTCCCCATGTGCTGGCAGATCTTTCCATAGGCAGAAACTACTACTAGGCACAAAGTTTTGGTCAAAAAAGGTCCTTTTATCTAAGAAATGTCTCCTTTCTACTAGGCACAAAGTTTTGGTCAAAAAATGTCCTTTTAGCTAAGAAATGTCTCCTTTTCTGTGTGTTGGATCAGACTACCACCCTTGCATGGACTCAGTCAGATTCTTTCCCATTTTGATATGAACCCCAAAAGCAGCTTATTTAGCTAAAAGCAGAATTCAGTCATTAATTGGGTGAGGGTCACATAGCTCTGAGAAATTCTGTGAGAATATTTTAATCCTAAAATCTGTCACCATCTCCAACAAATTTCTCTCTAAGCGTTTGTACATTGAAAGTCTTATTCTGTGAGAATATTTTAATCCTAAAACCTGTCACCACCTCCAACAAATTTCTCCCTAAGCGTTTGTACATTGAAAGTCTGGGTTTGTTTTTTTCTCCAGAGGTCTCAGAATTCAAAGCTCCCCCAAATCAGTTGTTTATACTCATTTTGAACATAAAAACACCTCCAGTTTATCCCTTTTGAATGTAGTGTGGGGAATGGAGGCTGAGACATGGAGGGGGAGGTCTGCCAGTGCGTCCAGCATTGCCATTTGCTCATACAAAGGATTGGGTACTCAAAGTCCAAAGAGGAGACACTTGTGTGCTCAAAACCCATCCCTGCTCATCAGTCAGGTACCAGTGAAGGCTCCTAGGTTTGCCAGATAACTCTCAAACAGGTGCCAGCCTCAGGCACAGGCTTCTCAAAGCACTGGCAGAAATGTTGCCACCACACATCTCAA